ATGTAGCTTGAACCAAGCCTTCTTCCCATTTCTCCCCAACTCTAGGACTACTTTAAATACCACAGGCATTTTAAATTAAACTAAAAAGCTCTTTCGTATTCTTCTTCTTACCTAGCCTCTTCTTCACCAATCCATCATCCAGACTGTTTCCAGCATGAATCTTTCTTGAGAGAGCCCATGTCCCTGCTCTGCTTCAAAATCTTTCTACATTTCTCCATTACCTATGAGATAACAACCAAACTCTTAACATGGAATAGATATTACTTCACAACCTGACCTTTAAACTTTCTCATTTCACCTCCTTTCACTTTTCTTCGCATACCTTAATTCCCAGACTCTCCAAGCAGCTTACAAGTCCCTAAACACAGCATGTTTTCTTACACCCCAGTGCCTTTGCACACAAGTTCTTCCTCCTACCTTTTCAATCTGGTGAGTCCCACTGGATCAGCTCAAATGTTATCTCTCCTATGAAGTCTTCCCTGGTAATAGCTCCTCCTCCCCTCCCCTCTGGCACCTGTTCCTGCTTTATCACCACACTCCTCCACACTAGATCGTATGTGAGTTTCCTGAAAATAGGGATTGCATCTTGCTCATTATTGAACCCATACTTAGCATAGGACCTCAACAAGACCCAGGCCTAGGGGAATGCTCTTCTTTGGGATGTCAAAAGTCCAAAACCAAATAACTGGGGCCGGGTTCCAGGGTTAGGAAGAAATAGTTTAACTTTCTGGGGCCACCCTAGCTTCTAACCATTTTCCCTCCTCCATTTCATTCTACTCGATCTACGTAGAAGTGGGTGGTGGAGGCAAGGGGCAGGGCAGACTAAAAGGTTTGTCTTTTTCCTTGGTTCAACCAGTGTACATCTTCTCTAACAAGAGAACATGGGGGATAGATACATTAGCACAATCCTTGTGTCTGTCTAGCAAACATTGGGGACTAGCTTCAGGACCCCTGAAATACACTAACTTTATAGACAGAAACTCCTCTCTGCCATTACCAATGAAGTGGTTGCTTTTAATAAAGCCACATCTGGAACTATATTTTTGTGCCTGACTAAAGATCACGTTTTCTTCTTCCCCATCTTCACCTAAAGTTTCAGGCTGGCCCATTTTATATAAGATGCCTACTTGCATTAATAGAGTGAAAGGATGCTCTGTGTGGCTGGAAGAATGAATGTGCTAACAGCTTGATTCTTTTAAGAGCACTCATTGAGAACTAGGCTTTAGAACTTGGTGATTGGCCAGATCTGACTTTTCTGGAGGTCTTCAATCCCTCTGGATTTGTGTACCTAGAAATGAATGAGGTATATATCACTGGAATAAATTAAGACTTGGAGTTATTTTGGAAGAGGTTTTAAATTCTATGTTCATTCAGTCATCGTGCATTTATTTTATGAACATTCCCTATGTACCAGGCAGTGTACTAGGAGTCTAGAGTCCACAGATGAGTAGGATAGGGTTTTGGCCAGGAGAAACACAGGTTCACATGATAATACTTTGATAAATGCTATCATAGAAGTTTTGATAAAATGTTATGTATGCGCCAAGGAGAACATTCATTCCACCTGAAGATGGATGTAGCAGGGAAGACTTCACAGAGAACATGCCACTTATGCCAAACCTTGAAGAATGGGTAGGATTTATTGATTGAATCAGAAGGAAAGTATTCCAGGCAGAGGGATGAGCACAAACAGAAGCACTGAGGGGTGAAAAGGCACGGGATTCAGATTTACACAAAGATATGTTTCTCATAGTGGTGTGTAGCCATTCAGTTTAGGAATTATTAATATTTTTTGAGTCATGGAACTCTGTGAGAACCAAATAAAAGCTAATAATTTCTTACCCCACAGGAGTATGTGTGTATGTGCGTTGTGCATGCACATACACGCACACACACAAATTTGTAGGTATTTTCATTGAGTTCATGAGTTGTTTCTTTTTTTTTTAAGCTCTGTTTCAATGAACACAAAAGGTTAAGAATCCCTGACTGAAATATTTACATATAAAACAAAATAAAAGAAGGTTAATAGCTTTACATGCCACTAATTTCATTTTCTCCAACTATTAGTGTTACACAAACAATAACTCACTGAATGCCAAAATAAAATTAACCTTTGAGTGTTTACAAATAATTAGCTGATATTCTGTCTCCAAAGTTTACAGGGGATTATTGGTTATTTTCTTCTACTACAATTATTTTTTCTACCCTTTTTGTTAGTTGAAACAAACAAGTTTGGGGATCAGCTTGAGTTTCAGGCTTTTTTTTTTTTTTTTTTTTACACTGGAGTCTAAAGTAAACTGGGGAGTGGTGTGGCTGTTCTGTACTGCACTGTTGTCTGGGCTTAGTCTACCTTTGCAGGTAATTAATTCCCCAGCCTGCTTATTTTTTTCTAGTTGGCTCTTGTTTAGCTTCCACAGAGCCCCACCCCACAGTGCTTTATTGTCCCTCTGCTGACTATTCCTACATATGGTCAAAATCAACTCACCTTCCGGGTTGCTGACATCGGCAAATTCACTCTTTGGCAAACTCTGCTGTGCTCCCAGTAACCCTTTGTTAAAGAAGTGTTATTACAATGGAGTAGATCTGATAGCTAACAAACCTGTCGAATCTCTTCCACTCCTAGATATAGTAAGGAAAAACTCTTTGTGTCTATGGATTTACAGCCACAGGCAGGATATTAGTACACTCAGAGCTGCTGGGTACCAGAGCACTGCTAATGAGCAAACAGCCTTGCCTCAATTAGTGGTTTGTGAAATAAATATTCCTGGATATCAAATTGCTTTTGCTGCTTGATAATCACACTGACTCTTGGGATGAAAACCAACCAAGCAAAAAATTGTTCCCTTGTTGAGTGCTGCCTTGTTGAACTCCTAAGTTATATCTGCAGACAAAATTTAAGTTTGCCATTTCCCCAGAGCTAAGGTTTGATTTACACATGTAATCATTGTGTTGGTGTCCATGTTTTCTCTTGTGTATCTTTCCCATAGTATCTAGATTACCATCTTTTGAGACTGATTCTATAATAATTACTTAAATAAGGTTATTTTAGAAACAAATTAAGAAATAACTATAGAAGAATCCAAAAATGGTAAACTGCTATAGTGGTAATTTGTCTAGGCATAATAAGTGTTTATGGGGGGGGGAGGGAGAGAGAGAGAGAGAGAGAGAAATTAATGAAACTGTTGACTCTTCTAGATTCTCTGCTTGATTACCAAGTAACTTCAGTGGCAATAATGTTAACCCCAGCAACAGAAAAGAAAAGCTTCAATATGGAGCTTGGGAAGAGAAAAAGTAGTAAAGGGAAAGGAATTCAAGATCTGTTATTGATATTTGAATAAGTTTATTGTGACAAGAATGCTGTTATAAATATTCATAAGCAAAGACCATCTTTTTAATCTAGGAATTGTTAAAGATTCCAAATTGGAAGGATACATCTTTTGTAAAAATCTGCCACCGTTCTTGCTTTGAGAATAAGCATCTATTGTTAAATTTCTACTAACATTATAAATGGTCACAGCACATGCCACTTGATATAATAATCCAAACTTTAAAGTGTTTCACTTCCCAGTGGGCTGTCCCTCTTCACCACAACCTCCCTTCCTTCAGCCGTCTGAAAGGCCACACTATCCTTTGTAAGCAACTCTATATGGATAGTAGGGGAGGGAAGAGTATAACTTCATGAGAGCATCAACTACAGTTATTTCTCAAGCTTAGTAGAGAATAGGTTTTACTGCTTGATAGCAAGAAGTACTGAGAGTGCAACTCTCAACTCTTCAACTCCACCTAGATAGGTAATCTATAGATAATGCAGAAAAGAGGTTAGGGGAGGGGTACTTTTTCAATATTTTATTTTCTTAAATATCCTTTCTGGAATTTTCAAAAACAAAACATAAAAAAATTATATACTTTATTACAAATGGTAAACTCAGAGTGCTCCAAATCTCTTATTTACAAACAACACTGGGCAGGATACCCAAACAAACAAACATGAAATAACTTACAAAGGCATGAAGCTGTTTATTGACAGTAATCAGCTTTCATCAAATTAAAAAAAATTCATATGTACATACACAGTTAAGGAAGGCAGGCCAGAAAGAGTTCATCTGTAGGCTCAGCCTCGCTCTCACAAACCTCCCTCCCGCCTCCCCTTCCCAACCCCTCCCCGCTTTGTATTCTTAAGGAGTACTACAGAAGCAATCTACAGTCTCTATTGCAGTTTATAACCCCTCCCCCGCCCCCCCTTTTAATACTGAATGAGATCGAATGTAAGGTCCATGCAGTTCTTGGTCAATGTTAAAGAAAAGTCTAACGTTCTGTTCGCGCGGGGACAGCCCGTCCGCAAAGCGGGGCAGCCCGCAGGCGGCCGCTCCCTGGCTCCACGCCAAGGGAGGGCGCGCCAAGTCCTTCCCACTCGTGCACACTGGGGGCGCCGTCAGGACGCAACCCAGTCCAACTTGGATACCCTTGGCTTTAGTCCTCGGACACTTCTTTTTTCTCGCTCTCTCTCGCAACTTGTCAAGTTCTCAAGTTTGTCTCTCTTGCGGTTTTTTTTTCTCCGTTGCCCCTCAGCCCCCAACAGTCTCTCTTCAAAACGTTTGCAACTGCTGCGTTAGCATGAGTTGGCACCCACTGTTAACGTGGTTCATGACTTTCTGTTTAAGCTGTGCCACCTGTTCCCTGAGCATGTTGGCCGTGGACGCCAGCTCCGAGTTCTGCGCTTTCAAGGTTTTCACTTTTTCCTCCAGCCTGGCGATCCTCTCCAGCTTCCTTTTCCGGCACTTGGAGGCAGCGATGCGGTTCCTCATGCGCTTCCTCTCCGCCTTGATCCGCTCTTGGGACTCCATGTCGATAGGCGACAGGGGCGGCGTTTCCCCGGGCATCTCGGGTACCGTCTGCGGCTCCTCCTTCAGGGCTTGCAGCCGCGGGTGCTGCACGGGGATCTGCTGGGGCAGGTGGTGCGGAGGCTGCGGTGGCTGTTGCTGCTGCTGGGGCTGCGCGGGAAAGGCCAGGCCGGCCGCGCCGTAGGAGGGCGCCCCGCCGCCGCTGCTCAGCGCGCCCGGGTTGAAGTTGCTGAGGTTGGCGTAGACCGGCGGCTCGCTGTGCAGGCTGGCACTGAAGCCGCTGCTGCCGCTGCCGCCCGCCACGGAAGCCACTGCGGGAGCCACCATGCCAGCCCCGCTGACCGGCTGCGCCGCGGACGTGACGCTGGGTAGCGTGTTCTGGCTGTGCAGTTCGGCCAGGGCGCGCACGAAGCCCTCAGCGAAGCCCTCCTGCTCGTCCGTCACGTTCTTGGGGCACAGGAACTGGGTAGGGGTCGGCGTGGTGGTGATGTGCCCGTTGCTGGACTGGATTATTAGGCGCTCCAGCTCTGGCGACGCCAGTTTGAGCAGTCCCACATCGGGCGAGGTGAGGAGGTCCGCGTTCTTGGCCCGGAGGTGTGGCTTCAGGCTACCCACCGGGTCGGCCAGGTTCAGGGTCATGCTCTGTTTCAGGATCTTGGGGTTACTGTAGCCGTAGGCGCCGCTCTCGGATTGGAGGAACGAGACGTTAAGGGCATCGTCGTAGAAGGTCGTTTCCATCTTTGCAGTCATAGAACAGTCCGTCAGTTCACGTGGGGTTAGTTTGGGCTGCGCGTAGAAGTTTCGGGGCCGCAACAGCGCGCTAGCAAGCGGGGGACACCCGCGCCTCCCGGGGCCTTTGGCAAGGAAAGTTTCTCTAACAGCGCGCGCACCCGCTGTCTGTCCTCCCCCCTTGCGCCCTCCTCACCAGCGCTCTCCAGGGAACACAGGGTTAAGGTGCCGCTCGCACTCTTGTCCGCTCGCGCGCGCTGCCG